CGGCGCGGCGCGCGAGGGGGAAAGACGCCGTCGAGCCGGAGCCGACACCCGGCTCCGCTCAGCCCCGCGGACTCGGGGCTTTCCGTGAGGCGCCCCGGCTCCATAAAATTAAAGTCCTTCTTGCCTCCCGCGCCGGGGACCAACCTTTGCTCTTACAGAAGATGTAAGATCAGTTGGAGCGAAATAACAAAGAGCGATGGGCAATTTAGCGAACGCGGCGCAGCAGCGGCACGGGAGGAAGGGATTTTCGCCTCATAGAGCTGGTCTAACGTTTAGCATCGTACTTTTCGGTACAGCTAATTCACCCATAGAAATTGCAGAACCAATAAACTTTATTAGATCCCAGAGAAAAATAATCAGTGACAATTGTAAAAATACACAAAATAAAATAGAAGGAATGCTTTGAAGACGCGGCAGTTAAGCAAATATTTAACAAGAGTTAAAAAAAAAAATGACACGACCAAGTGCGGTCATAAAAACCATTTAATTCGCATCCAAGGACTTAAAAAAAAAAAAAAAAAAGAACAGTTTGCATCAAGAGATGAAAGACATTTGTCATTTAGAAGACACTCTTAGGAATGAGAGTACTTCAGCTCAGCAGGCTGACACCTTCCTTCAATCACATCTGAGTCGCTCTTTCTAGACTTTTTGCAGCGTCTTTTAGTTTTCCAACTAAATCCTAAGAGATGAAATACTGTCTTAGAATAAACGTATTTTTTAAAAGGTCAGCTAGTGGAACGTAATATTCTTTTTACACAGAGAGGCATGGGAAACCAGCACCTTATGCCACAAAGAAATGTTGCAACTGATGAACAATGCCAGCAAGTAATTAAATAGCTTCCCATTTTTCAACATAGTAAGAAAAGTAGGAACCGAAGGAAAACACCTTTTAACATATATTATCTACTAAAATAGATCACTACTCTTAACAGGTACATTTTACTGGTATCGTCACGATGGCTAATGCTGACATTTGCTCTAGGCTTTGAAGTACCATATACATTTCTAAAATACTGAAACATTTTAAGTACAATTTCGTACTAGGACCGTTCTCCAGCCAAAGAAAAGGACAACTTTTGAGACACGTATTAAAAAAGGAGAGGTGTAAACCTGAAGTTTTAATATCTTGCTTTTTTTCTCCCCCCAACCCCTCTTCCCAATCCTCCACAGTTTGGTCACTTCCAAGCATTACAATACCTCTATTGTTCAGTTACACATTTAAATCGCTAAACAAAGATCAACATTTGTTTCAGTACATTTCTTACATGTCATTAACACCACTGAAGAGCCTTCAGTTCGTTCTCTATTTTTAATCATGACACATTTAAATCATTGAACCAGCTTCTTTAATCATTTCTCTAAAGCATGGAAAATCAGAGTTTCAGAAAAATGATGTATTTCCTCCCATATATAGATATATATATTTTACAGTTATGAAAACAGACAAAATATTTATGCACGTATGTAAAACACTCCCCATGCAACTAAAATCAGTTACTTTGCAACTTTATTTGAGAAGACAGGAAAACTACACTCAGATAATTTTTATAGAAGATTCTCCCCTACCCTCCCAGTCCTGGATTTTTTTTTTTTATAATAGTATATATGATTTCATTTTGATTGGCAAGTTCTTAAAAACATTTACATCCACAACTGGAGCCAAGCATAGAAACAATGATGAAGGAAAGAAGTACCTGTAATTGCTCCATCGTGCAACTAAAACTAACATCTGGGTGTGATCCTGAATCACTGTTCTGAAGGGAAAACAAAAAAACAACAATGCCCGTTTTACTGAAAAATGTATCGTGAAATTGCATTTTTTCCTCTGAGGGTGCTGGGAGTACAGTACCTCTACATTTAAGGTCACCAAGTAGGAAGGCTGGTAAGTTTTATGAAGTTGATTGCTCTAAATTAAAAACAAAGAGCATAGGAAAAAGTCAGGTCTCGGCACTGAAACAGACTAAAGGAACACCCTGATGTGTTAAAATTACCTTGATCTGATATTCCAAGCGCCAAGACACATCAGTTATATGGAGGGGAGATCTGCCTATGCTGAAAGACACAACAGTTACAAGTTCCCTACGTCATTTTCTCAAGCTCTCCATCAATAAAGAACTTTTTCATGATCCTTGTAATGCTTCTTGAGAAGTTCAAGAAGTTCCTTAAGAGTAGAATTCCGAAAGGAGGCAGAAAAGTTCCAACAGCTGTTTTCTAAAGTTTCTTAAAAATGTACAATTTAATTTTTTTTAAATGGAACAATATTTCTTTCTTTAATCAGGTAAAGTATGCATAGGTATTTTCCAGGACAGTTTCAAAGTAGCTGTAATTGAAACTATGTATCTGTGCTGACTGATTGACCTACCTTCCCAATAGGATTTCCAATGCATCCTTGTTTTTCTGGAGAAAAAAAGAAAAAAAAAAAGAAAAAAAATATTTGCTAGGTTCAATAAATTCCTGTGAGAGAAAGAAAACGTAAATATGTTAAAATTGGTTTAAAAACCTGATATTCGGTGCAAAATTGTTCTATTCTCTCTTTATCCAGTTTACAGTCTTCTAGACATGTGCTACAGGGAAAAAGTATTTATTAGTTTTCTGTTAACATTAACTCAGCAGTACTGTTTAAAATAACAACCGCTAGAAAAATGGGGTAGCTTCGAAGTATTAGTACCTTATAGCAGATATGTCGGCTTTCTGCTTTCCTGCCTCCAGAATACATGTTGCAGCCGCAGCATGGCAATGTTTTAATACCGTAGGGTCAATATCTTTCAGGTCTGGATCGTCTAAAATAAATGAATTGCTGATGACATACTTATTTGCCAAATCCCAGCACACGGTACCAAGAGCTGCTGCTCACCCTGTGAACGGTATCTTTCCCACAAAAACTTCAAAATGAAACACATTTGGTGTTTTAGAGCGAAAGGACGGAACAAGGAGGCAAGGTGTGAGGAGGAGGAGAGGGGCTGCAGCGCTGGCTGGTGCAAACCGTACCGGGCGGGGCTGTTGTGGCTGAAGTCATTCCAGTTTAGTTCTAGTTCACATTCAACAACATTTCAAAATAGCAACTTCTTCTTCCATTAATAAATAAATAAATATAAATTACAGCTTGAACCAATTTCTGTTTGGGGAAGAAATGGGTTTGCTTCAGCTGCCTGGTTGTGCATTTAAGAGGGAGCTACAATGTATTTTTTACTCAAGAGTATGGGAAAAGCTATTAAGGGTAAGCCCTTTTCAGCCCATCTTCCCTGATCCCACATGCATATCCACTAAAATAAACTAGAGCAGAGTTTCATCCTAAAAAAAGAGATATTAACATTCGTACAGCACTGCTTGTGCTTCTGCTATAAAAAAAAAGACTCTAAAAATGGTATGGTTCTATGTTTAGTGCCTTTCACTTCTATAACAAATACATTCATTTTATAAATAAATATATTAACCGCTAATCCTGCCCATCCAATTTAAGGTCTGAGAAGTTGTGTTTTTCCCTTGTGCTGTCATCAGTGAAAAAAGTTGTCAATGTCAAATTAAGCTTTCAGTTACCTCCTTGGTGGCCTCAGTAACACAGCTCTACTGTCTGTAATACATTTATATAAGTGTAGTTGCTGAGTATCATCTTGAATCTTTTCCTTTTTAGGGCTGTGTGGGACTAGCGCGGGGGGGGTGCCCCCCGCCCCCCCCCCCCCCGCCTCTCCATCTCCTTCCCATTAAAAAAAAAGGGGGGGGGGGGAAACCAACAACAAAAAGGAAAACCTCAATATCCTCTCCAAGCCCCGTCCGCGCTTCTCAGAAGCCTTTCG